AGGAGAACATCTTCAACCGCTCACCTAACCCTAAACCCTAAACCCTAAAGCCCTAAGCCCTAAACCCTGAACCCTAAACCCTAAACCCTAAACCCTAAACCCTAAACCCTAAACCGTGGGCTGCTGGGGATCCTGAAAGAAGGACCAGGTGGCCAGGGAGCCCACAAGTTCCCGCCCAACGAATCACGCGAGATGTGGGTAGCGAGTTCTCTAAATCAGGGTTTAGGGTTTAGGGTTTAGGGTTTAGGGTTTAGGGTTTAGGGTTTAGGGTTTAGGGTTTAGGGTTTAGGGTTTAGGGTTTAGGGTCCCTTCTAGGATCCTGTTTAGGGTTCCTTAAAGGGATCTATAAGGGTTTCCATCAGGGTTCTATTGGGGGAGGTCTCTAAATCAGGGTCCCTTCCAGGGTCTTTTGCAAGGGTGCCGCACTCTTATGGGGACTAAAGAAAAAGGGGACCCGAATTTTAGAGAGCTACCCGTGTCTCTGCCCCGTTTCGTAGATCTACAGTTGATGCAGACTAAACCCTAAACCCTAAACCTTAAACCACAAAAAACCCTAAACCCTAAACCCTAAACCCTAAACCTTAAACCATAAAAAACCCTAAACCCTAAACCCTAAACCCTAAACCTTAAACCCCCCAAACAAAACCGTAAGCCTAAAGGCTAGGCCTTCTGGAGGCGGCTTAGGATTTTATCTGGACGTCTCTCTACTTGGAGGCCCGGGGGACTTAGTAAGTAGGTTATAAGTAGAGTTATAGGGTTTAGGGTTTAAGGTTTAGGGGTTTAGGGGTTTAGGGTTTAGGGTTTAGGGTCAGGGGACTTAGTAAGTAGGTTATAAGTAGAGTTATAAGTACCCTAAATGGAGCTACCCCAATTATAACCCTATTTATAGCTGACTTACTAAGTCCCCCGAGCCTCCAAGTAGGGCACATGGCGGGTCTGATAGATGCTGGAGCGTCGCCCGGTGCTTCCGTCCAGTGGGCATGTGGGTAGGGTTTAGGGTTTAGGGTTTAGGGTTTAGGGTTTAGGGCTTAGGGTTTTGGGTTTGGAGTAGTTCTCTAAATCAGGGTCCCTTTTGAGGTACTTGTTTATAAGGGTGCCGCCTTCTTTTGGGGTTTCTAAAAAAGGGGACCTAGTTTAGACAACTACCCATGTGTAGGCCACTGCCGGCCGTCCGTCATCCCTAAACCCTAGAAGCCCGAAGCCCCAAACTTCTGTAAGTTAGGGTCCCTCTTGAGGTCCTTTTTATAAGGGAGCCGTACTTTTTTGGGCCCAATTCAGAGAACCACCCAAATCCCAACTCCAGAAGATTCTAAGAAGCAGCCCAGGTTTGGCTCTGGATCGACAGCCTCAACAAGCCTAAGAAGCCTCCCCGCAAGGTGGGCAAACCCTAAACCCTAAACCCCTAAACCCTAAACCCCTAAACCCCTAAACCCTAAACCCTAAACCCTAAACCCCTAAACGCTTAACCCTTAACCCTAAACCCTAAACCTAAGGTGGGAGCTGGGCCCTGTGTTCTCGTGAGTTTGAGAGTTTGGGGCTGCAGGGCTGCACGGCCGCGGGTCCATCTGAGTTCCTGGTTCTGGTATAGTATAGGGGCCTTGATACTTACCAATAGTATTTTAGGAGCTCCTTTTTTCTATATAATTATAGTATAATGGGCCCCCAAACCCTATTCTAATTATGAAGGCTTCTACATTAGGCTAAGGCCAGTTGAGTGCGTCATGGCGTTGAAGCGCCTGCAGTAAGGGCTTTGCAGAGGTCCATGGGGTTGATGTGTTGCGTGGCTTTGAGTTTCCAGGTTCGCAATCACCTAGGAAGCGTGGCCCTAAACCCTAAACCCTAAACCCTAAACCCCTAAACCCCTAAACCCCTAAACCCACCCTAAACCCTTAGTAGCACAGGATCAGCTTTTCGTGATCTCGCAGAAACCTCTCCAGGGCTAGGTGGGTGCTGCTTAGTAGTGTTTGGGTTTAGGGTTTAGGGTTTAGGGTTTAGGGTTTAGGGTTCAGGGTTCAGGGTTTAGGGTTTAGGGTTTAGAGTTTAGGGTTTGGTCCTGAAGTTGGCAATCGCCCGAAAGGAGTTCGTAATTTCCAGAGGTAGTATAGGGGCCTGAATAATTACTTGTACTCTTTTGAGGGTTCCTTATTGTAACTATAGTATATGATACCCCCAAAACCCTATTCTACTTCTTAAGGCTTTCTGCATTACAGGCCCAAGCCCCTCACACAAAAGAAGCCTTGGTCTGAAGACTTGCACTCCAAAGCCCTAAACCCTAAACCCTAACCCCCAAACCCCTAAACCCTAAAAGCCTTTTGGCTTGAAACCCTTACAAAGCCGAAGGATGGCTTACAAAAGCCTCTAGAGCCATAAAGCCCCCTGCAGGTCGATGAAGCTCCCATTCTCGGTAGAGTTTAGGGTTTAGGGTT